ATTCATGCAAACCTTTATTACTTGTACCATTCACTGAGTATCCAAGCTCACCCTCTCTATATATATGTAGGTGATGAGCAGGACGGCGGCGACGCCTAGATGTGTTTTACAAGCTTGTTTTGGATTCCTGTTATGTTGGCTTGACTAGTTTTTATGTCGGCAATCTTGAAGATTATGCTTCTCGGCTTATAATACTTGTATTTTGTATATGTCGGCTTGAGAAGCCTTTTGATCAAGATGTAACATGTATTTTGTTTATTAATCAACCGATTGTAAAATCATATTATGTATGTCATCTCATTTGATCTATGCACAGCTCTTATGGACCACTTGGATTTTAATTTACTGCTTCCGCATTTGCAAGCCCCTTATTTATACTCTGTGTGTGTGTGAATCCTCGTAAGAGGCCTTGGTAATCTCGGATTGCCGGCCATCATGACACCATCCTACTAGGGGCGGTTTGGGGTCGTGACAGTAGAGTTATCTCCTCCGTCTTCTTCGTCGCTGAGAGAGAGAGAGAGAGATGTCTGCGTATAAGATAAGAGAGGTGTGCGTATAAGAGAGAGGGCTCAGATTAGAAAATAAGGGTTTCAGAAAAGGGTCGCGTGTATCTACCGCATTTGGAGGCGCTTTTAGACGCCTTTAAATAGAAAATGGTGCCGCTTGGTTAAAAAATTTTGCGACGGTTATAAAACGCCGTTAAAGATTAAAAAAAGTGACGTTTAATTAAACGCCGCTAATTGAACGCTGCTAAACCCCTGATTTCCTGTAGTGGCATATCCAATGGTCTATGCATCGCTCCAAAATTAGAAAGGATGGTCATCTTTTTTTGCCCGAAACTCGTAAAGCTCTCTACCATGAAAGTTTCTAGTAAAGATCTGAAGGTAATCAAAGGAGCGAATGAATGGTGGGGTGCACTAAAGTGGCATGAATCAGACTTGAGCAGTGATCATCAAGATTATTTGGCTTCTGTGTTTGTCCCACTTAGAAGGGATGGGGATTTGATGGCTCAATTCACAAAAGATTAGATTAACTCCAACTGTTGAGGCAAGGTTGAAAGCTATCTCCGTGGCCTGGTAATTTCTCATTCATTTATATCTTCAGAGATTATAGTATTAGTAATTTCTCCGACAACATTTCTGATATGTTTGGATCATAGATTTGGAAAGGGAAAGAAAGGGAAAGGGAAAGGGAAATGGATAAATTTTTTTTACTTATATATTTCATTTACATTTGCCTCACCTTTTCCCTTTTCTTTTTCAAATCTCTATACAAATCAATGATCCAAACACAATCTTACAACTATAGTGTCAAACCTTCCAATGACCTAACTATGAGATTAGTGATCACCAAAGCGGTAATCTCCCACAAGCTTGTGGATGATATTCAAAATGTTTACCATTCCGCAGTGCATTTTATTACTCATTGATGGAAAGAATGTGACATTCCTTGTTATTGTTTGTCATTTTGTGTGGGAGTCACAGGTGGTGGAAACTCTTTGAAGATCCTTGTGACAGAAGAATGAATTGTTCATTGAAGTGAAGAAGCTGAGAGATACTAGTGGTATTGGTGGCATGCATTATAAATTAATTGTTGGGTATACATCCTTGGTGAAGTTTGGGACTCAATTAGTTTACCCAAAAAATATTCAATGGAGTTTGGTATTAGTTAAACTTTGTTGACAGCTTTACATTTGAGTATTGTATAAAGCCTTTGGCATGCTTTGGTGGCAAGTATATTTATTTGTCTCATTGGAAGTCCAAAGGACAACAATACACTTTGTATTGTTTATTGGAAAGTATATATATATATATATATATATATATCTATTTTTCGGTGGGTTCATTGAAGCAGTGCTGTGTGGTAAAGACAGTCCAAGTCTTGGTGATCCGTTTGGTTGTTGTCTCTGCTGCTTCGAAGGACTGTTTTTTGGGCTGCACTCTGTAGTTTTGGTGGGAGCTGTTTTGGTCCATTATCTTGTGTCTTCTACACTGTCTCCATTGTTATTGTTTTTAAACTTTCTATTGATATTGGAATCGGACTATGGTCCGATGAATGTACCTTATATTGAGGGAATCACATAAAAATGTGTACCATTGTTGATTTAATTTTTTTGCTTTATTTTATTTCCTTTCAATCGATTTACACTAGTGAAAAAACAATAAATTTCCCTAACATTAATAATATATCCTCAAGTAGAATTTGATGGCTTGTGAGTCTTGATGTCTTTGAATAGGCTGGCTTGCTGTGTGCTCTGCTCTTTTGTATTCTAACAAGAGGTTAACTTCTTTCTGATTTGCTAAAGCTTGAGACTAAAACTATATATCTACGCTTTGATATGAATGTGATCTTGCTTATTTTTGTAGTCATTGATGTTGCCGATGTTGTTTCTTTCACTTTTTGTTCATGCATTTTGAAAACTGTACCTCTTTCATTACTCTTGATGAGTGACTTACGAAGATACTGCAACTCACTCTCTCTCTCTCTCTCTCTCTCTCTCTCTCTCTCTCTCTAATTCTTTTATCTTGCATGCATCAAGAACTTTGTATCTTTAAACTAACGGCAACATTTTTTGTTCCAAAAGAAAAAGTCAAATGGCAACATCGGCTAAAAATAGGCACAAGCATAGTGGCATAGAGAAGGACTAAACCTCGCAACTTGTCGCCATTGTTACGCGGTGATGGTTTTTTGATTTTGGACTTTGGATATATTCATTTGAATTTCAAATCAGAGACTTAACATCTGTTCTTATTTTATTTTATTTTTTTCCGTGTTTAGAGGTAAATAAAAATTTAATAAGAAATTCATTTATATATAACATTTTTCCTTGTAAAAATTGAACCAAGACAATATGAAGTGTAGATTATGTTATATTAAAGAAAATTAGGACATGATATGAAAGCAAAATTATTTAAATGCGAGTCTATTTGTTGCACGAGTATGCTTGGGTTTTAGATTTAAATGAGGGGAGGTGGATTCACTATATCCTTGGTTGAAATTATCTATTTGGAAAGTACATGCATATCGGGGAAAAAAAAAATACTACTGTCTCAAAAAAATACATGGAATAAAATAAAATATATTGTTCAAAATGGACCAAGACAACAAAATTAAGACTATATTTAGATATTGGATTTATTTAAAAAAAATAGATATTCACTTTATTTTCTTTTTCCTATGTATAATTTTCATTTGCAAAAATTCAAAATTTTAAAATTTGAACATAGCAAAAGAGACTTGGAAAGTTAGCCAAACAAAATGACTCGTATTGTTGAGTTACATATTATGTGGGATGGGATGCGAAAAGGCTTAAAACCTCAGAGCTGAACTAATTCATGTCAGAAAATATAATTTGACCAATTAAATTATGTGGCACTCTTGCATATGATTAGAAACTAACTAAGTATAGAAACCTTTAAAATAAAAGGTTAAATATTACGGAATGTTTTAGTGGTAGGTGAAAACTCTTGACCTTTTATAAGGTATGTTGACATTGAGTCCCATTATCTACTCTATTATATAAAAGAAAGGTCTGCACTGGTGTTGACAAGGAAGGTCTGCGATGGTGTTGACACTTTTGTGTCACATATTTTGAATTTTCCCAAAATATCAAGTTTTTGTAAAAATATTATACAAAGAGGAGGACAAGACTCAAACGCATGACCATGAGTTTAATAGTGACTCTTACTATTTGAGTAACACACACAATATGAACATATTTCTTTGTCATTATTCTTATAATATTATTTTTTTCAAGTTGCACACGCATCACATGTGTGGGCCGCTAATTTTTTAAATATGATAAGTCCTACCCAACACAAACATTTATTGGGTGACTACATGTGCTATATAAATAAAATGGTGAAATGTATCAAATACAGGTAAGATATGAAGTAAAGTGATAGTGATGGTGCAAATCATCACAAATGTAAACTTACAAATGCTCAAAATAATCCAAAGTATTAAACTTTATAACCAAACCAATTAAACTTTGTGAATTACCTAAAATTCAAATATATATATATATATTAATATCTAGCTAGTGCAAGCTAGTCCCTGTCAGGTTGCATACACAGAGCAAGCTAGAAGAAATTCAAATATTATGGTAGAAAAATTACCAATTTATTTTAAAAATAGCCACTATTAAAATAATACAATATGAATTATGTGAACAATAGTAATTCTAAAAGAATTGTTTAATCTAGATGTAATCTTTTTAAGACCAAAAATATAAAGAACTAAGAAAAAATAAATATAAAAAAATGGTTCCTTAATTGTACCTGATTTGCACAATAATGTTGCACCATGTTTGATGTAGTTAAATTGAATGAAATTTCACAACTTTCAGCTGAATTATGCATTCACTAAATGAGATTTTCAAATCATAATGTGTTATACTCAGTCAACCAAATGATAAATTCCTGGAACTGATCCCCAACATCCCCTCCCCTTTCCCCTTGGGCTAAAATTAACTTCCAGGGTTTTTTTCATTGTCAAGGACAACAACAAAAAAATATCATGGTATGATATAATTATGGAGAGAAAGCAATAGTATTATGCACTTTTAAATGTCTCAAACAAACACAAAAGAGTGATTCAAATCATAAATAATAATATGATACAACAAGCTCAAGCCTTCATCATCATATTTTAATTTCTTATATATCTCTCGCCAAATAGAATGAGAGAACAACCAAAACAAAAACAAGAAGGAAACCAACCCAAGCAGGAGAACTCCACAACCATTGGAATGTATCAACAAACAGAGGGAGGATGCAAAGAAACCCAAACTTCTGAACATGATCTCTCGGAAAGCTTGTTGGACCAACTCACGAACACCATGGTTGTATAATCTAGGATCTTCATGTTAAGCTTAGAATTAGGCAGGAAACTCTGCAAATTATTTTGACAAAAACACTATAAAGATGAAAACATTACCTGAAGGTGCAAAATTTCTGAAGTTTCTTTTTCACCTTTTGATTCTGCAAATTCTCCCACCACTAGTTTTCTACTTGGATAAGTTGTTGTTCTCCTTGGATAAGTTCCTGTTCTACTTGGATAAGTTTCAGATTCTCTGCGTCATCTTTGCCAAATGGTAGTTTGATCAAGGCTGGACAGTTACGAATCTTAAGTTTCTCCAAGGCTGGCCACTTCAATGAATTATCTGCGCAAATACTTCCCAACTTTGGCAGGCCACAAAGTACTACTTTTCTCAGTTTTGGCAGAAGTTCCTGATTTCCAGCGGTTGTAGATTGCTCAACCACTTCCACAATTTCTGGGCAGTCTTCAATCTTTAAACATTCAATTTCACGAAGATGTTGAATCACAACTAGAGGAAAAATAATTCTCAACATTTGACAGCTACTCAAAACCAAAGTCTTCAGTTTGGTTAGAGTAGCCGAATCCACTTGGTCATTCCAAATGCTTTGCAACCTTGGTAAATTCTTCATGTATAAATGCTTTACGTTGGGCAATATTACACTATCCACGACTGTTTCAAGTGCAGTACAACTTTCAATTCGACAACCTTTTACCTCTTTCATGCTTGGAATTCTCAAGTCTGACAGATGCTTGATGTCCTTCTTGTTCACCAAATCGAATGCATCAACATTTGCGAGGACCTCAAAAATAGGATGATTGATGCCTTCACCATTGCAATATCTAACATACCTTCCATATTCTTCAAGTTTAGGAATACAAGGGTCTATTGAGTTAGGGCAATTAATGAAAAATTGAAATGACGGGATGTCTTGGATGCTTCTCCATGAGCGAGTTTCCTCAATGTAAGTGTAAAGAATGTCTGCTTTAGGAAAATTGATTCGGAGATAAGGAGTAGTAGTACCCACCTCAATGACATCTACAACCTCCTCATTTCAAAAGCAAAACTGAAGTTTTGTCAAATTTTTCAAAGTAACCACATTTTTTATGATATTCACTACCACCTTATTGGACTGGTGTCTCTGATTTCACATCAATGATCAATTCTTCCAATCTAGAAAGGTTGGAAATCACATTGCAATTAAACTCCACCTCTTTAGTATCATTTTCACTTTCGCATTTGGCGAAGGATACTTGAAAATGCCTTAGACTGTTCAACATTCCAATAAAAGATGGTATATTACTGAACCCACTGCCCCGGATATCACGCACTTCAAGATGTACAAGTTTTTCTAAGCTATGAGGGAGTTTCTTCAAATATTCGCAATAGTCTAGATAGAGCACTTTGAGTTCGATCACTTTTGATAGAGATGATGGTAATAACTCAATTCCTGTATGAAGCAAGTCCAAAACTTTGAGACTTGTCATGTGGTTAAAGAATGATGTAGGAATACTCTTCAAAGCCAAATTTTTCTGTAGGAAAAGTGTGGAGAGCCGGCCACAATTTGGGCGATTTGGTAACTTGTCAAACTTACCAATCAAAGAGATCCATTCCTTTTCACTCCAACATTTTGCATCTGGGGGCATTTGTTGCACCAAAAGTTTATTGTTAGGATCATTTGACAAGATATGTAAGAGTATCTGTCTGATACATTTGTGCATCGTAACATATTTTGGATTCTCATGTTCCTCGAGTAATGACTTGTCCTTAAGGATTTTCAATATATAAATTTCGTCCATATATGCGTTTCTTGGATCACCACCATTACCAAGGAAATTTTCAACTTCCCAACACTCCAACAAACGATCTATGTAAATGTCCTCTTCTTCAGGATATAACACACCATATAGTAAGCATTTCCTTTGAATATCTTCCAGATCATCGTAACAGAATTTTATCACATTCCTCAGTTCATGTTGACCTTTTTCTGAAAATCTTTCCAAGCTTTTCAATCCTTCACTCCATAATTTCAAGTCTTTCTTTTGGAAAACACTTGCTATTATATTTATTAAAAGTGGAAGACCACCGCACTCTTAGACTATTCTCCTTACACATGCATCTGCTTCACGATCATCTTCAAACTTTGGGCAGTTTGCTACAATTTTAAACATTCTAAATGATTCCTTAGTGTTGGTTTTTTGGCTTTCGAAGGTTATTATTGTAATTGCGAGCGTGCTAGCAAGGATCAATCAGTCCTTACAGAAATTTAATTGCCAACCAATTATCAGACGACTGTGTTTTAGTTCTCTCAGCCTCAATGAAGAGGACTTTTACCGGTGGCTTGATTTAGGAGAATTAAACAGAATACCAATCAAATAAAGAACAACTGAAGCATTTCATTAGAATGAAAAACTTACTATGATTCAAACTCAGTTTCGTAGAAGTTTACAACGACAATCTACTTGAAATTACTCCTATGAATGAAGTGCAGTGCAGAATTTAAAGTATTGGAATGTAAAGAACAGGATATAAAACTGGAAAGCAAAAATATGAAGTAAATGACTGGTTTTTTGGATCTGAGTCTGAGAGTTTTTTCTGGGGCCTTCTCTGCTATTTATACTGCTTAAGGATGACCGTCGAACTGCTCCCCCATGATCGCTGATCATGTAGCCTCAAGATTAGCTCAACTACGCCATCACTTGCAGTTAGGCTTCCCTCCTAAATTTGAATTTAAATATGAGTAACCGTTGATGCCACATCACCTTGTATCTCTTTGTTGATCCACTTCTACTCAGATCTCATAACAACCATTACTAACTGCCACGTGTACGATCATGATCAAAGATTTGAATGGCCTCTCCCTGTACTACCCTTACTTTGCCATGCGTCGAATCGTAATTGGCTTGTACAAAATATGTAGCCAACATTACCCCCCGCACTAATATACCCAATACGTGGTGATATTAGTGGATCAAGGTCTTTTATACACGTCTTAGAACGTGCATGGATTTTGCATTTTCCCAGAAATACAATTGTCATTCACTATCTATATTAAACTCTCGTTTAATCCTTTGAACACTCCCACCACCTTAGCATTCGAATAGACTGATACATTTCATGGCCGAATTAATTTTTTCCTCCAATGATCGAGCACACGAAGAATCATATGATGATGTTGTTCCTTCTCGAAAGAACGTCCATGCATTAATTAGCCACCTTTACCCACCTTTCTATATTTAGGTCATGGATGCCTTTGCAAATTATCAACCCTTGGACTTCGAACATATTGCCCTTAATCCTTCGATTCAGAAACTCACAAATATGGACATGGGAAGTTCTTCTTCTGACTCACCCTTGGACTAAGAACAAACTGCTCTCAATCCTTTAATTCAGAAAGTTGCAAATATGGACATGGGAAATTCTTCTTCACAATCCTCTGCATGGGATAAGACTGCGACTTCTTCCTCTTCTGGTACTTCCGACTGGACAAGTTGGTCAAAACCTGAGGCTTGTGATTTGAGGGAACGAATCAACCATCACTTTGTCGAATTTACTGACCCTTTAGAGTTCCTTTCTTATGCACGAAGCTCGGTGGTCTATCCCTACGTGCCCATTGACCATCGACGCAGTTTGGAGGAGAATCTTCTTGTGGCATGGTATACATCCTCCATGCCTACAAAGATAGTGCACGCCGCCCGACGCCTAGAAAAGGCACAAGGGTACAATCCATCATTCCTAGCCCAGAAGGCAAAGATTTGTTCTTCTAACGGGCTCAATTATATTAATACCCTCGTTCCTTCTGCCCTTGTTCCATCTCCTGAAATAGAAGCATCCATACCTTCTCCTCCGCTAAATCTCTGCTGGACAGAGAGATTGAGGCTTGCCCTCTCCGTAGGTAAGATATTTCCACCTTACGAACCTCCATCTTCCCCTACTCTAGCTGAGCGGAAGCAAGCTCAACTTTTGCTCGCGGCTTTCTCTCATTTGCCTTTCAATGTTCTTGAGGACGAAGTCCCTCTCGAGAACCTTCGATGGGCTTGTGATATTCTGACTCGGGGTCATGTCCTCAATCCCCTCGCCCAAGCAGAGCTTCACATGTTTTTGGACCAACTTCCATTGCTTCTCCACTGGCATCGGACCTCAATGGCTACCACACAATCTTTAGACCAACTTTTATCCCTTCGAATTCATGTCCAGTACGAAGCAGAGAACTTTATTGAAGAATTCGATGATTTCGAGAACAAAGATTCTGCATACTGGGATGACTTAGAGATAGACGAATTGGAACAAGGATTGAGAGAAACAGTATTCGAAATAAAGGCTGAAGAGCTCTTTTACGAAGTGAGAGCACATCAACTCATGCAGCCAATGTTAGAAGAAATAGAGGATAGAATAAAGAAAGAACAGAAATTCATTGATCATTGTTGGACTAAATTTCATGATCTTGTTATTTATTCCATTCCCTATTTTTATGAGCTTGAGTTTATACCCAAATAGGGCTATTCGATGTAACTGCTTTTGCTTTAATACCACTAAGACTTTTCTTTGTTTGGTATGGTTTGATCTTGTCTCCATTTGTCTTTAAAAGCAACTTCAGAGTTTCGAACTGAACAATCTTATCTTTCGAACCTGGACTCAATCGTTTTAAATGAACCCAAAACGACCATGAACTTTTCCAATTTATGGAATGCAGTTGGTAGTTTTTTGATGATTTTTATTCAGAATCCATGCTTCGAATCTAACAACCCTACCCTTTAAAACTTGTTTCAATCATAACCAGCATATGGTCAATAATTTAATATAATCAATTAGTTTTAAATTGATCCTTTTGCTTTGAACAACAGTCCATAATTTCAAAAATATGGAAGCTCCTTTTGAGGACTGCACTGTTCTAGTTTTAAAAGACAATTTTTCTGGATATATATAAACCAACTATTGGTTTTGATGTTTTGAATACCAATTTCCATTCTTAAGGGATCTCTAGTTTTGCTTCGAAGTACATTACTTTTATTGAGAAAACCTAAAACAGGTCTTTAATCCCTTTGAAATAAATGAACACTTGAGCATTCTTGCATTCATTAGGTATGGACTGTGCTTCGAAGCTGGCTTCGTAGAAGCCGTTGTTATTTGACTTTTGGCGCCAAAATCTGGTTTCGAAGCCAAATATTTTATTTCGAAGCTGGTATTATCATTTGGGCTGTGTTTTTTCCTCCAAAAGTATCAATATTGAAGGGAACTCTTCGTATTCATACTTTTAGTACTTAACAAATTACGCGATATATTTTCCAGACACAGGCTTTTAAAAACCCTTTTATTTCGTGCTCTGAAATCATTCGCTTGCGCAATACACAAACCCTTTACCTTTACCGATCTTCCACTTCTCTCTGCTTCCCTTTTCAGCTTCATCTTCCGAAAAAGCGTTCTATCAATGGCTTCTTCTTCATTAAAAGTGCCAGTCATAGAACGCGCGAGCCCATCTGTAACCCTGAAGAGGATCATCGATGTAGAATGTGAGAAGTACAAAGCTGGGGAGAAGAGTGCCATCGATGGACGTATCTTCATCCCTCGTCACCATGAGCAACAAGACTATGTGCTTGGGCCAATATTCAAGGAGATCCTTACTAAGCTTTCAGCTCTATACCCTCGTCTAGAAGGCCATTGTCTTCTTTACGAAGGTGGCCTTGACTGGAGGAGCTGGAAAACGAATCGCCCCCACCGATGTTGGCCCACAGTGAGACTAGAGTGGCAAGAATGGTATGATCGAGTTGTACCCAATAGGACTCTGGACCTTCAAGAACTCTGCCTTCTAGATGCCTTTCGATTATCCAGGTTAACTATTCCTGAAGACCCTTTCTTGATTCCTGCTGCTCTGTGCTTTTGGAACTCTGTTTTTAATTTCTTTCAATTTAGATGTGGGATGATGGCCCCTACTGTCCTTGACATTTGCCATCTTTTAGGATTATCTCCTATTGGATCCCCCATTGGACCAGATTATCCTGACCTAGCAGTTCCCTTTTCCCTTCCTTCTCATAACTCATCTTATAGTGACTTTATCAAGGCTGAGAATAGAAGAGAGGGTCCTGTGACTGATAGGGAATTCTTCTCTTTCTTATTATATTGGCTTTGCAAATTCCTTTTCTGCACTTCCTCTCAAAGAATCATGCCCAAATTTGCCCCTCTTGCCAAAGCCCTTGTTTTACAGAAGAGGGTGGCTTTAGCTCCATACGTTCTAGGTCATGTATATAGAGCTTGTTCTCTTTTCCGTGAGAAACCCTTAGATGCCAATCAAGGGGGGCCATTCTGGATTCTTTAGCTTTGGCTTTTTGCTTATTTCACTGAGTTGCAATCCAAATGCCTTAAATTTTCTGAACACAACCCTCCTACTCATGGTATGAGGCTAGCCAATGCTTCACTTTATCCTTCTACTTTTGCTTTTTATTTCTCCTTCTTCCACCAACTTCTAGTTTCTCCTCCTTCCTACTGCTTCCGTCCTTTCGAACCCATCACCATTGGCCCACTTTGGCTGAAGAATTTCTTAAGTGATAGGCTCTACGCTTCACCTACTCATAAAGACATATGGGCTTCTATTTTAGTCCCTAGAGAATTATTCATTGGGACCTTGAACCCCAGAGCTTATAAATGCATTGCTGAGCCCTACTGTCCTGCTCAATTTGCTAGACAATTTGGCTTCTCACAAGGGGTCCCAATACCCGTTTGCAATAACACCAATTTAAGCCTTACCACCAGGGATTTAAAAGTTCGACGGTCCAGACTGGAAGAGGCAACTTCTAAGTTTATACAAGACCTGATCGATTTTGAGTATATCTCTTTTCTTCCTCAAGGTAACATGTTGAAGAGGTACCACAACTGGTGGGCGACCAATATGGAAGTATACTTGGCCATCCCTCCTCAAGACCTACTGATGGTGTTGGATGTGCCCAAGCCCAAAGGGGCTGGAATTGTTACTTCTTCCACTGCCCTTACTACTCAGATTCCTGTGCTTGCTACTCCACAGTCTGCCCCTACTGCCCCAACTCCTTCTAGAATCACCCCAGCCTCTTCGAGGAAAGGTATACACCCTTGTTTCTTCTCCTTTTGCCTTCTTTATAATGCTCTTAGCCTTATCTTTAGTTCTTCTTTTGTGAAGGTGGTGCGGATGCCTCACAGGGAGAGTCCCCTCAGAAGACTTAGGCTCTAAATCTCCTCAAAAGCAAACGACAACAAAAGAAAAGAAAGCTTTTACTTGAGCCTGAAAATGAGGTATTTGAGGTTCAAGCAGAAGAAGAAGAAGAAGAAAATCAAGAGCAAGAATCAGCCCTGAAAAGAAGGAAAAGAGTGACTATCTTTTCTTCTAACTTGATTCAAGAAGAGACAACAACACAGAGAAAAAAGAAAAGAAAGATCACTATCTCTCTTTCTGATTTTGCCGAAGATCCTGTATATGAGGCAGCTGCCAAAGCAGTGGAGCAGGAACACTCTAAGGCCATAATCGTCTTCGAGAAAGCTTAGAAGAGACGGCAGCAACAATTTCTGAGAGATGCAGCTGCTGCTGCTGATGCATTACAAAAGGAAACTGCAAGAAGGAAGAAAATTACCGAACATTACTCTCTTCGTAGCTCTCCTATTATTGCCAACACTTCTGAAACAAGTAATTTCTTTTATGCTTCTGTTGTTTTCCCTTGTCAAATTTTGGTATTGAAACTTGACATTACTTTGCACTTCTTCTTCTTTTCGCAGCAACAACTACTGATTCTATCCTTTCAATGGGGACTCCCTCAGTTTCAGTTGAGGTTGATCATCTGCAAAACGTGAGGACTATTCAAATCATCCTTCCATTTCCCAAGCCTGCATTTGATGTACTTTTCTTGAGACCAATCATTCCCAAATTTCTCTCTTTCGGGTTGGCTCCATAGCTTCCCCATCTGACTTTTGACCCTCCTCAATTCGGTTCTCTTTCAAACCTCGCTCTTCTTCCTTCTCCCAAGGAAATTCCAACTGCTACTCCATCTCTGATGGCAGTTGATTCTCCTATAAAGGGTACTGGCAGCTCTCCGATTCATGGTTTATTACCTCTGCCTACTTCCAGCCCTTCTTCTCTTGACCTATTGGTGGCTAGGACCATAGAGACTGTTGAAGATGCTCCACCTATTTCTCCTATCCCCATGCAGTCTTCTGTGCCTTCCATCACAGCTCTCTCTGCACCCCCTCATGCCTACGGATGAGGTAGATATCTTCGAAGCAAGACTAGCCAGTCTATTCGACATACTCTCTACCTCTCCAATAGCCAATGATGAAGTTGAGCCATTAGTCTTGGCTAACTTCTTGTTAGAAATTCTTGAAAGCCCCTCTTCCTCTAGTAGTAAGCCTTCCAAACTTCTAATGGACTTAGACACCTGCCTGGAACTACTAATCTCATTTTCGAGGATCCTTTTTGAGGCTTTGCAAAGGCCTATAATAAGAAATGGGTTCCTTCAGTGCTGCAAAGTTGCTGAGCAGTCCGGCATGAATGTCTCAAATCATTTATCTCAAGCAGCAACTACTATTGACTTCTATGTCAATATTTGCTGTGCTGCCAAGGCTGCAGAGGAGAAATTGGTCAGAGATCAGGACTTTGTTTCAACAGTACATGCTGAGATATCAGAGCTGAAGGGACAACATTCCTCTGTCTCCCAATTTCGCACTCAACTACTGGAGAGGAAGGCTTAACTTGAGGAGGAGTTATCTGTAGTCAACCAAGCTTTAGCCCGAACTGATACCAAGTTGCTGATCACCAACCAAGAACTGGCCGATCGAAAGTAAGAAATGACTACAACTATTCAGTTGTTTTCATCTTTTAAAACTAGAACATTTGTTGTAAAAGAACAACTGAGGCATTGTAATGATTTTTGGGCCAATTTATGGCAGAATGTATTTAACTCTTTATGAAAAATAAATTCTTATTTATCATTTGAGTATTTTTGTGTTCTTGTACTTGGCATTTATTTATCCCTTTGTGTTTCCCATATAGTTGGAAAATAAGGTTTCAAATACCTGTCTTTAATCTTTTTGGGATGTACATATTCATTCAAATTTCTCAAATGGTATGCTCCAAAAAGAAGGACTCTATGGATTTGGTATGGCCCCTCCCAATTTGGTGACCATCTGCCAAACTTATGGCTTTTAATACCTATTGGGAGTATGGTTTTCCATACCAAATCACCTTCATCGAAGCCAATGTGCTTGACTTTCTTATTGTAAATTTTGGCTGCTTTATTCTTTTGAAAGAGAATGCTATTTAATGCCAAAATTTTGGCTTCATCTATTCCTTCTAATTCCAAGCACATACTCTGATGGTATTGCTCAGAATCTAGCTGGTCTTGGCATCTTACCCTCAAAGACTTAACATTAATTTTCGCAGGCAATACATCATCATGCCTATACACCAAGGCATAAGGAGTAACTCCTGTGCTTGACCTTGGGGAAGTTCTATAAGCCCACAATACATCCAACAACAAGTTATGCCAATCCCTAGGATTGTCTTCCACAACCTTTTGTATTCCTTTCTTCAAGGACTTATTGGATGATTCAGCCTGGCCGTTGGCTTGTGCATAATATGGGGTGGAATTAACAAGGCTAATTCCAAACTCAGCCACAAAAGACCTCACCATTTTTCCATCAAACACAGTCCCATTATCAACAGTTATGGTTTGCGGGATGCCAAACCTATGGATTAAATCCTTGATGAACCCAATGACCTCAATCTGGTCTACAGCCTTGTATGGCTTAGCTTCGACCCACTTGGTGAAATAATCAGTAGTCACTAAAATGAAACAATGATGCTTCGAAGAGGGTGGGTGTATTTTCCCCATCATATCCATGGCCCATCCTCTGAATGGCCAATGCTTTACTACTGCATGCAGGTCAGTTATGGGCACATGCCTTATTATGCCATGCTTTTGACATGCCTGGCAACCCTTTGCATATTCTATGCAGTCTTTAAGGATAGTTGGCCAATAGTAGGAATCTCTTCAAAGCAGCCATCTCATTTTTACACCTGGCTGATGAGCACCACAGATGCTTTTATGAACCTCAGCCATAGCTGTTAATGCTTCTTTTGGGCCTAAACATTCCAACAATAGACTATCTCCCCCCATTTTGTAGAGATCATTGTTATATATGATGTATTGCATAGATTGCAATTTAATTCTTCTACTGGCCTTTGAGGATGGGCCAGCCAAATACTGTATTATTGGATGCCTCCAATCTTGTCCCTGTAAATCATTATGATTGACTTCCAGGACCACATTCCTTTTATTTAAGGGTGGTATAGATTTCTGGTATGTTGTTTGGCTTATGTCCCATTGAGTACCATCCCTCCTCTTGAAATTCGAAGCTTTCTGAGCCACATCATTAGCTTTATTATTCAAGAATATTAGAACATGAGTTACATTTGCTATTTGAAATTGAGAGAGCAAATGTAATGCAACAACATAATATGGCAACATGCTTATACTTTGACAATTGAAAATCCCTTTCACTTGGTTAACCACCAATTGAGAATCTCCAAATATGTCAACTGCATGTACTTGTAATCCAATAAGAATTTCCAATCCCACTATCAAGGCTTCATATTCAGCTTGATTATTAGAACAAGTAGTTTCATCCACTCTGAAACCATGTGTGGTTTCTATTCCTTGTGGTGACTTAATCACTATACCAATTCCAGTTAAGCCATTGGCTATCGATCCATCGAACCACATTTGCCATGGCTCAACACTAGCCATACCAAGTTCCATTATCTCTTGGCTCTCTGTTTGAGATGGATGGTCTGCCAAAAAATTGGCTAAAACTTGTCCTTTCACTGCCTTTTGGGGAACATATTCTAAATGAAATTCTGACAAGGCTAATGTCCATTTGCCAATTCTTCCCCTCAACATAGGTCTAGATAACATATATTTAACCAAATCCGTGGTTGCAATTACGAAGATAGTTGTAGGCAAAAGATAATATCTTAATTTCATTGCAGCAAAATGCAGTGCAAGGCAAAGCTTTTCTACAGCTGAATATTTACATTCACAAGAATTTAAAAATCTACTAAGGTAATAAACAGCTTGCTCCTTGCCTTCTTCATTGTCTTGGGCTAAGAAATCTCCCAATGAATCTTCTGTTGTAGCTATATACAACTTCAAAGGCTTATCGCCCTTTGGCGGCATCAACACTGGAGGGTTGGCTAAGTAGGCTTTGATTCCTTCGAAAGCAATTTGATGCTCTGTTGTCCATACAAATTCCTCTTCATCTCTTAACCTTAACAAGGAAGAAAATACTTTAGTCTTTCTTACAGTGTTAGAAATGAACCTTCGAAGAAAATTAACCTATCCAAGGACCTTTGTAATTCGTTCTTACTTGATGGAGGTCTGGCTTCAATGATGGCTTTGGCTTTATTCTGGTCAATCTGTATTCCTTTCTTGTGTACTACATAGCCCAAGAAACTTCCAAATGATACGCCAAAAACACACTTAAGAGGATTAAGTTTCAACTTGAACTTTCTCATTCTTTCGAAAGCTGATTCTAAGTGAAACAGATGCTCTTCCATGGACTGGGACTTAACTACAATATCATCAATATAACACTCTAAATATCCTCCAATGAGGTCGTGAAAGATAGTGTTCATGGCTCTCTGATATGTAGCTCCAGCATTCTTCAGATCGAATGGCATTTTAACCCATTCGAAGGTGCCAATATTTCCAGGACATCTGAATGCTGTTTTGTGAACATCCTCCTCCGCAATGCAGATTTGGTTATAACCAGAGTGCCCATCCATCATTGATAAAATTTGATGCCCTGCTGAACTGTCCACCAGCCAAATCTACTATAGGCATAGGATATTCATCTTTTGGAGTTTAGATTTAGGTTTCTAAAATCAATGCATACCCTCATTTTGTCATTTTTCTTAACTACAAGCACAATATTAGATAGCCATTCAACATACCTGGCTGTCCTAATAAAGCCTGCCTTGAGTAGTCTAAGAATTTCTTCCTTAACTTTCTGAATCACTCTGGACCCATTCTTCTGGTTTTTGTTTGTATGGCTTGAAGTTAGGCTTCATAGGGAGCCTATGTTCCACTAATGACCTATCCAATCCTGGTAGTTCATTATAAGACCATGCGAAACATCTTTATATCTCCTCAGAATAACCAACAACTGGTTCCTGTCAAGAGTATTCAACCAAGCACTTATATAAATGGTTGTTGTACAGAACCTTCCCCTAAATTTATTTCTTCTAAGGGGTCTTGTATCTGAGCACTTATTGGAGCTCCTTCTTTGATTCCTTTTGGCTTCGAAGCAATCTCCTTACTGTGTTCTATTCCCAGGTTCTTTGATTCAACCTCTTTACCCTCCTCCTCATAGACGAAGTCTGTCCACAAGGCTTCTTCTTCCTGTATTTCTTGGACTTTTGTTTCTATGTCCAATGCACAATATTTATCAAGGCCAAAATCTAGCTTGTTGCTGCTCCTGCTTATAGCCAATTATCATGGCTTCTTTCTCTTGCTCCTGCACTTTCTGGACTATTGACTTTACATTCAATATTGAAAACTTAATTAAAGCCAAAGACTTGGCTTCTGGTGCTTCATCTTGCTGCCTATAACCAGGCATCATTGTCATCTTTAACAACTACCTCTTCATCAGCACTCTCCTGGACTAAGTGCTTCAGGTGTGTCATTTCCTCATCAGCCGTTACTTCGGCTGAGCCATCAGATTTCCTCAGTATACTGAGTGGTGTCACTCCCTCAATATACAACTTGGCTTCTGCGAAGTCTGCGCAGGCTATGAAAGGTTGAGGATCTGCATCAATTTCCTCTGTCTCCCTATTGCCTAGAGCCATCATTATTTTCTGATGCAAAGAGGAAGGAACACATTTGTTAGTGTGGATCCAATCTCTACAAGTAAAGCATTGTACTTAGCATTACTGTCGATGACGAAGAACGCCGTCATGCAGTCCCTGGTTCCCATACTCAGGTTAATGGGTAGAATTCCCTGGGCCATCTGTTTGTCCCCAGCAAAACCAGCAATGGTTGTACTGGTTGGGATTAACCTGGGATTCCTTTTCCCTAATTTCTTCAAGGAAGATTTTGGTAGTAAGTTCACCGCTGTCCCATTATCCACTAAGACTCGGTTCAATTGTATCCCATCGAAGAAGGCCTTAATATACAAAGGCTTAACATGCTGTGTCATAGAATTCGAG